AACTTGATGTAAAATAATCGCGCACGATTATTATCGCGCGCATTAAGAGATGGAGATCTTTTTCGCGTTAAAAGTTAAAGAGCACCTGAGAAACGGCGTTTTCCCTCTCTTTCTCTCTTAATGCGCGAGGAAAATGTCGGACTCTCGCGAGGTTCAACCATCGTGACGTATACAAATCGTCCGCGTTTATGAATCGTCGGCAGATCTCGCGTGTCAGAAGTGCATCGGGAACGCGAATAACAGTTTGTGCGCGATCTAATTTTTTTGTATTACGAAAACTTTCACCGATCATCTCTCCTCCGAGAGATCTCACGCGAGGAGATACATCTTATTCCTCGCATTTACTTTCGCACAAAAATTGAATACCAGCCACACTAATATATATCGATAAAATTAATTAACAGCTGTTGATGACGATCATTTTCATTTTTTTTTTTTTTATTAATTAATTAGCCGTTGATAGCAATATAATTTTAGAAAATTAACAGCAGATTTTATAGATTTATAAAATTAACTATTAAAAAATGTGATAATAAAAATATATATCTTTATTTTATATATATCGATAAAATTAATTAACAGCTGTTGATGATGATCATTTTTAGATTTTTAATTAATTAATTAGCCGTTGATAGCACACAATATAATTTTAGAAAATTAACAGCAAATTTTATAGATTTACAAAATTAACTATTAAAAAATGTGACAATAAAAATATGCAATTTGTGTTAAATATTTAACACATTCATGTGTTAATTTCACATATTTTACTGTTCTGTTAATTAAACTTAAATATTAAATTATTCAAAGAACCAAAAAAATGTAAAAATAATACAATATGCATCTATTTTGAATATTACACAATAAATATGTTCTGTTTTTTAGTGACAAGATTTTTCTGTTAAAATTTACAGAAAAAAATGTTGATTTTCTATTTTAGAATATAAGTGCAATGGGGACGATAAAATCTAAAATTAACATATTTTTTGTCAAGTTTTATTTATGTTAATTTTACACAAAATTTATTTTAAATTATTTGAAATTTTGCATTTATTTTAAATTAACAGAAAAATTTCTGTGAAATTTTTCAACTGTGTACAAAATCTCTGCTTAATTGTGTGCGAGATAAGCACGATATGAAGAAAATGGATCAGATATCAAGGATAAAGCAAGAAGGTTGTTGCCTTATCGCGGAAAATCGTATATATATACGATAGAAAAGAGGTTTATGTACAGGGTGTTATAAAAGTACCGGAACAGCAGAATAATTCGAAAAATATAAGTCCTAGAAAAAATGGCTATCCGACGTTCAGGAAAAAATCATAAAAACCCAGTACTTAACATTTTTTCTAGGACTCATATTTTTCGAATTATTCTGCTGTTCCGGTACTTTAATAACACCCTGTATATATCCCGATTCGCATATAAATTTCCGGATCCCTGATAATCCCTCCCTTTCTCTCTCTCTCTCTCGTTCTACCAGCTTAAATTACATTAATCTTGTAAGTTGAAAAACTTTTCTCAATTATAACTTCGTCACACGACGTAAAGAATCGCGCCTTGGCCATGCGACTTGGCGCTGAATCGGCATTTCCAGTCGCGACCGCGAAATTTATTCAAAGCGGCCGGCAAAGAAGCGCGTTTAGCGATTCTTAATGCGAAACAAAGTACCTCGGTGCACCAGAAATTGTCCGTTCACCGAGCGAGGAAGCTCTCCGACCGGATCTAAGGATTACTATGCGGGAAGACGAGGGAATAATTGAGCCGCATAATCTTTTCTTTTCTCCCTTGTAGGTTTTTACGATCTAGCGCAATGGGTCCTCTGGAGAAAATTAAAGTCGCGGCAAAGAAGAAGAAAAGGGTGGATAATATATATATATCAGGGAAAGAGAGAAAAGGGGAAAGAAGGAGAATGGACACTGTATATCTACAAAATACACATATATTCAGTATTATATTTAAATTTTAATTTAATTTTTTATTTTAATTTATTAATATTAATATATTTATTTTTGGAAATATTTGTTATATTTTTATAAATATATTGGTATATTATTAATATATTTGTTTTAATACAATATGTTAATAATAATTGTTCAATTATATTTATAATTTATTAATAATTATATACAAATCGCTTTAATAATATTTATTATTAATAATATATATTATTGAAGCATAAAAATATTTTTAAAACATTATTATTCAAAAGACAGATCAGTAAAAAAAACTTTTGCGAATCATGCAAAATGTTCTTAGTTTTCGAATAAATTTTGAAAAAAATATTTTAAATCGATTTTTCTCCAATTGCAAAAACTTTTGTCATCCGCAATCAGAAAACTTTCTTCCTTTTTATTTTCGATATTCAAAATCTTTTTTTATTTGGTTGAAAAAAAACTTAATGTCAAAATTCCGCAACTCAAGCGAGCGACAGCAAACCGAACGGCGGGTTAATTATTAATATCGGGTTAATTATTAATATTTATAATTTATTAATAATTATATACAAATCGCTTTAAAATATTTATTATTAATAATATATATTATTGAAGCAATATATCCGCGGCGTATTTTTAAAAACTAGTAATCTAGACAAGCTGCACGCGCATAAAAAAATATTTTTAAAACATTATTATTCAAAAGACAGATCAGTAAAAAAAACTTTTGCGAATCATGCAAAATGTTCTTAGTTTTCGAATAAATTTTGAAAAAAATATTTTAAATCGATTTTTCTCCAATTGCAAAAACTTTTGTCATCCGCAATCAGAAAACTTTCTTCCTTTTTATTTTCGATATTCAAAATCTTTTTTTATTTGATTGAAAAAAAACTTAATGTCAAAATTCCGCAACTCTCAAGCGAGCGACAGCAAACCGAACGGCGGGTTAATTATTAATATCGGCGAAGTCATTATCGCGCGCAAAAAGTCAACTATCGGCGAGGAAAGTAATTTCTTGCATAATTAAGAGGAAGGGGAGTATTAATTGGACCGCGGGTAATCGTTTCTCGCCACTTTCACTCTAGACTGACGTGAGCGCTTTCGCGTCGCGAAAGAATGTCGGTAGAAATGAAAGGAAGATCGGTGTCATCTCCCTTTTTCTCGTTCTCTCTTTGCTCCATCCGACTAGATAAAAGGAAGAAAAAAAAAGTGAAAAACGCGAAAGGATGGCGAGTTTCGGGAAAAAAGGCGATCGTTATAACACGAAGTAGCAGCTGCCCGCGTTTAAGAATTCACACGACCTCCACCTATCGACGCTTAAAAAAAAAAAAAAAAAGGTCGGAAAAACGACGGGCAACTTTTTGATTTTAAAAGCGGTTTATGTATTATTCAGCAGAAACCAAACTGTAGCGCCGAGCCATCCAGAAAGAAGGGTAGGGGGTGTTTTATGGACGGCGAGAAGCGAAAAAAAAGGGAGAGATTAAAGCGGCCTAGAAAGTCGCGCACGAGCGAATAATTAGTGTTAATTGAGTATGCCGAATTTGAGTCAAGGACTCCTCTTTTTTTTTCTAATAAAGGGGACCCGCGCGCCGTCATTCGATAATTACCGCGGCGAAAGTGCGATTTAAAGTTTTCTGCCACTGCGATTTCGTTGGAAATTACCGATTCACCGTGGACTGCTGCACTTTAATCTTTGGAGTTGTAAGTTTAACGACACAAATCGAGGAGGAATTTCTACCTGCGACCATTAGCGAGAAAGTGACGAACAGAACGTATTTCAATATTTCTTGGACGGTTTTATGCATTTTTTTCCTTTCCACTTTTTTATTATATCTTAAACTTGCAATAATAAAATTTATATTACATTTGATGCATCGCCAATTTATTAATAACCTTTTTAATAAGATGCCAAGTTTTTCCTGTTAATTTGACCTCTTAATAGATTAATATTTGCATTTGAAATGACAGTCAAAGTAACAGATTCGAGGATAATCATGTGAGCTTGTATAAATCTGAAATAAAAAAACACAAGCTGTGTAAAAAAGCGTACATGAAAATTTTTCGTCGCAATATCGATGTTATTTATTGAATTACACGGACTTCAATTATTATTAACACGTGATTCGCTATGTTATTCTCTCTCTTCAATCATCACAGTGCTTAATTAACGAGTGCAGAAAATAATCATATTTTAATAATCATTAAAAACAACTCCTCTTAATAGACGATTTATTATATAAAAATACAATATTGTCAATGAATACATCAATCAATTCTTGTCATATATACATATATAATTGCGAGCGCTTCTACAATTAAAATAAACATAACTTTATTTTCATTGTACATATATATACGTATACATATACATATATATATATATATATATATATATATATATATATATATATATATATACACACACACACACGTTTTATATTATATATATTTTATTATACGTCATGTATTATATTAGATATTACATATATTATATACATACATATATTAACATTATAGAATACATATTAAATATATATAAATATATACATATAACATACATATTATATAACATTATATTTATATACATATAATATATAATATCAATATAAAAATTACGCACACTATTTATAAATATGTGTATACATAACATTTATATATACTATTCAAAAAATTTCCTTCCCATTTCGCCATTCCAATTGTTTGAGTATGATAGTCAAATTTAAAAAAAATTAGAACACACGGTCATGTTTTATGCAAAGTACAGCATAAAACGAAGCTAACGCATATCCGCATAGTTACGAATATTTTATATTATTTTATTCCAATAATTGATCGAATTCTTAATAAATTTAATCAATAGCTTCACATATCATATAACGAAAAACTCTCTATATATGCTTCCACATATACTCTAGTTAAATATGAGATAAAGCACGACAGAATAAATTAAACTGTCACTGTCACCATGCCAATAAAAAAAATACTTTTGCAACTAATATACATACAAAATAAACAAAGAAAAAACCTTTTTTATATTTTTGTATTACATGGATAATACACAAATTAATTATGAATTTCACGACATGCAATTAGAACATTTTGCATTTTTTCACGCAACTCAGGTATCATATTGCAATCTAATTTTACCCAATTAAACAAATATTCAAAAACCTCGTTCTCTGCCATTACATCATTTGGTATTAAACTCTTCACTATAGTAGCAATATGTTTACAAGTACATTGTGTAAAAATACAGAACCAATATAGACTTAAAAACTTCTTTAGCTCTGGTAAGAATAAATATGTTTCTCTTGGTAACTGTAGTTCTCTTGCTATAATTAGAATACACAAAATACACATTATTAGACAATATGTAGAAATTCCACCATGTGAGATACATTACACGCAAACATATACATATTTCAACGTACCTCGCTCTAAAATGACTAAAATCATTAACAGGATACCATTTAAGTAATCCGTAGTTCCTCCATATATTTTTGGGATATATTGAAATGTTAGTAACTTTCTCATAATAAAATATAATATATCAATACATTTATCAGTTCTTGCTATAAACATGGTATAAACGTGTGTAAATTCTTGATGTAATTCCTTATTCCCAACGTCCCATGTAATCACGTTAAAACGGTCAGTTCCGACTCTTATTTGTCGCATGATTAGAAAATGTAAAAAAGTTTCGATAAAATTTACGTCTTTTGAAAACCCTAACCCACTGACCTCCACTTGGGTGTGTGTGTAATATAATTGCATAGCAGGAATCAAAGTATCAATATTAAATAGCTGTTCCAAGAAATGGTCTGGCAAATTGATTTCAGATATATATTTAATTAATTTCATAATTTCCCTACCTACAAAAAATTTTCAAAAATTAAATTAGATAGAATCAACTGTCCTACAATATATTATAGTATATTACATCATAAGATATATTTCGGTAATATTAAAGATTTTGTATAAAAATAAGCATACGATTTTTCGTAAAAAAATTGTTATTATATTTGTATTATTTATATTAATTTACCAAGACGACATTGTGAAGATTCTAGTAAGAACATTATTCTCCTTCCAAAAAATTTACATTCCTTAAAACGAACTATCCAGTCTGACTTAAAATTTATCTGAATTTCACATGTCGCTAATTGTAATAATTTTATAATTTTTCTCAGTATTTTTTCATGTTTGCAATTTTGTAAATATAACAGAATTGATCTAACAAAACTTCTGGATTTGCCTATGTCACCTATCACTTTCTTAATACAGCACAATTTAAGAATAATATGTAAAGTATAAATCTGAAATTATAGTATTTCTTAAAATAACTTTAACTGTTATAAAAAGATCGAATATTATAAGATAAATACGTATATCATACTGTCTCATGCAATTGAGGTTGTGGATTTGTCAAGAAATACGTCGCTATATTTAAGAAATTATGTCTTAGAAGAAATAATCGCACATCTTCATATACGCTCTGCTTTGCGAATTGTTTGAGAATTTCCTTTATTAAGTTTTTTTGATTAACATTTCTCTGAAAACGAAAGCAATGACAAATATTGTAATTTTACATCTTATATCGTATTTATAATATACACAAATATAAAACTAATTAAGTATACAGTCGTGAATAATTGTATCAGTAACAACATTAATGTAGTTTGCTATTGATAAAAAATTGTTCAGTTATCCAATTATAGATTGTACTTTCCCAATTCAAATTACTTAAAAAATAGAAAAGATATCAAAAGACCCAACATTATTATTATAAATCTTCTGAATATTTCTTATTTATATAAGGTATACACCGGGCACTAATTCTTTATAAATACGTGAAATGAAATGATTGCGCGTCCTCTCACTTCATATATGATAAGATTCATAAGATAAATGAATAATGAGAGAGCAACAGAGAGAGAATATTTTATATTCGGCTAATTCTCAACGCATAGAATCAAACCTCGCAAAACTGTACATATATATTTTTTTTATATATTTTTAATATAAATTTAACAGTACTTAATTTATTATACATATTTGACTATTATATATTATAAATGTATATATATATATATATATATATATATATATATATATATATATATATATTATTATATATTATTATTATATATATTATTTATTATTATATATTTATTATTATATATTATTATATATTATTATTCTATATTATTATATATTAAAAAGGTTAGAAATATTTTTCCACGAAATATCGCTGCTCCCTTTTGACGAGCGAAAAGCATAATAATAAAGAGTTTGTTAACGCAAAAAGTTACCTCAAGTGTGCCAAAAGTCAGATTTTTCAACTTGTTGATGTCACTCAACCATAATGTCCCTTTTATAGGAGATTCGCTAATAAATAGATTCTCATAATCTAACTCTTCCTCCTCAATGTCTGAAGAATTTGTTGAACTATAACTTTCGCTCGAATGTTCTATAATTATCCTATCCGCCATTGCAATGGATTTTTTCCCGGCAAAGATATTTTCTCGACAATCTTTCCTTTCAAAATCTAAACGAAGCGCGTAATTTTAGCGATTAAATCTGTAATATCTGACTGAATAATGAAGTCACAATGTGTGATTATATGATACTAATTACTATAAAGAATTTGATGTTACATTCCAACACAGTGTTGGGAAGACTAACTATTAGAACAATATTGTCCAATGGTATAATCTTAATACTTGTTTCTCCTTGAAATATGTTATTAAATATTAAAGTCAAAGAGATACATTTTAATTTGTGTGTTTATGTGTCTATGCCTCAAATTTAAATGCTACAACGCTTTTTCAAAAATCAAGGGACAACATTTTTCTTCCTAATATATAAATTTACCTAATATATAATCGAAAATGTATGTGCAAATATAATATTTGAAATAAAATAATGTAATAACGATAATAATAAAGATAAAATAATAACATAAGTCATACAGTGAACTTGCTTTATTCATATGAATTATGTAATAAGACATTGATATAAATTATATGATGAGCACATTTAATAAGCGCATTAAAAAAGGTTTCATCAAAATTTCATATTACATACATTATATAGATAAAACATTAATTAATTACTTAATTAGATAGAGCATTATATAGATAGAGCATTAATTAATTAATTAATTAATTAAAAATTTTCTTTAATACAATACTAGTTTGCACTAATTTTTTACACATCTCTGGTGTAATATAACAATTTGTACAAAATTTATTATATTCAATAGCCCAATAATTACATGTATTTCAGAAATAAAATTCATTGTTGATATTATATTTTTACAGCGCAATAAATTGTACACTTCATTGATAAACATTTTGTAAAATATGATATAATGCAATATTAATACTAAAAAATTAGTGATACTTGCTTAAAAAATATATACTATATAAATATATATTTATATTTTATGTATGTACATACCTTTTTATATGCACATACTGTAACTAATATATTTACTCTCCCATTTACTCATACAAATTGTTTAAAATGTCTTTTAAAAAAAATTAAAACATAATCATGTTTTATGCCAAATTCAGAATAAAATGCAGAATAAAACAAAGCTAACGAAATTATCTCTCGATGCGCTCTTATGTGTCTTCTAGTTAAAGAAAGAGACAAAACTTGTCAAAGAAAAAATGTTTTAAATTGTCATTGTCATTATTTTTATATATAAAAAATAATTTTGCAATTAATAAATACAAAAAGTATAAAATAAAAGATCTTTTTTTCTTTATTATTCGTTATTATATCATTTAATATTAAACCCTTCAATATAGTAGCAATATGTTTACAAGTATATTGTGTAAAAATACGGAACCAATATAGACTTAAGTGCTGCTTTAGCTTTTGTAATAATAAATATGTTTTTTCTGATACTTGTAGTTCTTCTGCTATAATTAAAATACACAAAATACACATTATTAGACAACTATATACATAAACTCCGCAATATGAGATATGTTACATGCATATATATACATATGCAATTTACACGTACCTTGTTGGAAAATGACTAATATCATTAACATGATACCATTTAAGTAATCCATAGTTCCTCCATATATTTTTGGAACATACCACAAAAACTTTATTATCTTATTACTTTATTTTTAAAAAAATTTGGAATTAACAGAAAATACCAATTTGTTCGATGCAACCACGTTAAAACGATTATCAGTTATATAATTGTCAATTCCGACTTGCATTTGTCGCATAATTATATTTCGATAATAGAATATTGATAAACACAATTTTTTTTTAAATTCTTATATAATAAATTAATAATCTTATATAATAAATAAAGAACGTATTTCAATATTTCTTTGACGGTTTTATTAATTTTTTCCTTTTTACTTTTTTATTAAATCTTGAACTTACAATAATAAAATTTATATTACATTTGATGAATCACCAATTTATTAATAAGATGCCAATTTTTTTCTGTTAATATGACCTCTTATATAATAGATTAATATTTGCATTTGAAATAATAGTCAAAGTAACAGATTCGAGGATAATCATGTAAGCTTGTATTTTGAAATAAAAAAAATACAAGCTGTGTAAAAAAACGTATCTTAAAATTTTTCGTCGCAATATCGATGTTATAATTGAATTACACGGACTTCAATTATTATTAACACAAGGTTCGCTAAGTTATTCTCTTTCTCCAATCATCGCAGTGCTTAATTAACGAGAGCAGAAAATATAATCATATTTTAATAATCATTAATCACAACTTCTCTTAACAGACGATTTATTATATAAAAATACAATATTATCAATGAATACATCAATCAATTCTTGTCATACATATACAATTGCGAACCCTTCTACAATTAAAATAACAAACATAACTTTATTTTTATTGTGAATATATTGTATGTGTTTTATACTATATTATATTATATATGTCGTGTATTATATTAGATATATATATTATATATATACATTATAATTATAATATATATATTAAATATTGTATATAAATATATACATACAACATACATATAATATAATATTATATTTATATACATATATAATATCAATATAAAAAGTTATGCACATTATTTATAAATATGTGTATATATAACATTTATAAATACTATTAAAAAAATTTCCTTCTCATTTCGCTATTAACATCAATTGAGTATTGCTAGTAAAATTTGAAAAAAATTAGAACACACGGTCATGTTTTATGCAAAGTACAAAGCGAAGCTACCGCATATCCGCATGGTTACGAATATTTTATATTATTTTATTCCAATAATTGATCGAATTCTTAATAAATTTAATCAATAACTTCACATATCATATAACGAAAAACTGTCTCTATATAAGCTTCTACATATACTCTAGTTAAATATGAGATAAAGCACGACAGAATAAATTAAACTGTCACTGTCACCATGCCAATAAAAAAAATACTTGTGCAACTATAATAATATACATACAAAATAAACAAAGAAAAAACCTTTTTTATATTTTTGTATTACATGGGTAAAGCACTAATTAATTATGAATTTCACGACATGCAATTAGAACATTTCGCATTTTTTCACGCAACTCAGGTATCATATTGCAATCTAATTTTACCCAATTAACCAAATATTCAAAAAACACGTTCTCTGCCATTATATCATTTGGTATTAAACTCTTGAATATAGTAGCGATATGTTTACGAGTACATTGTGTAAAAATACGGAACCAATATAGACGTAAGTGCTTCTTTAGCGTTTGTATTAATAAATATGTTCTTCTTGATAATTGTAGTTTTCTTGCTATAATTAGAATACACAAAATACATATTATTAGACAATATGCAGGAATTCCACCATGTGAGATACATTACACGTACACATATACATATTTCAACGTACATCGCTCTAAAATGACTAAAATCATTAACAGGATACCATTTAAGTAATCCGTAGTTCCTCCATATATTTTTGGGATATATGGAAAACTTAGTAACAATTTCACAATATGGTATAATACTGCAATACATTCATCAATGTTTGTTAAAGGCAAGGTATAATAATATAAAGGTAATTTCTTATCCCCAACGTCCCATGTAATCTCGTTAAAACGATCAGTTATACATTTGTCAGTTCCGACTTCGACTTGTCGCACGATTAGAAAGTGTAAAAAAGTTTCGATAAAATTTACGTCTTCTGAAAACCTTATCTCCTTGATGGTGTGTGCGTAATAAAATTGCATAGCAGGAATCAAAGTATCAATATTAAATAGCTGTTCCAAGAAATGGACTTGGTCTGGCAAATTGATTTCAGATATATATTTAATTAATTTCACAATTTCCCAACCTACAAAGAAATTTTCAAAAATTAAATTAGATAGAATCAACTGTCCTACAATATATTATAGTATTTTACATCATAAGATATATTTCGGTAATATTAAAGATTTTGTATAAAAATAAGCATACGATTTTTCGTAAAAAAATTGTTATTATATTTGTATTATTTATATTAATTTACCAAGACGACATTGTGAAGATTCTAGTAAGAACATTATTCTCCTTCCAAAAAATTTACATTCCTTAAAACGAACTATCCAGTCTGACTTAAAATTTATCTGAATTTCACATGTCGCTAATTGTAATAATTTTATAATTTTTCTCAGTATTTTTTCATGTTTGCAATTTTGTAAATATAACAGAATTGATCTAACAAAACTTCTGGATTTGCCTATGTCACCTATCACTTTCTTAATACAGCACAATTTAAGAATAATATGTAAAGTATAAATCTGAAATTATAGTATTTCTTAAAATAACTTTAACTGTTATAAAAAGATCGAATATTATAAGATAAATACGTATATCATACTGTCTCATGCAATTGAGGTTGTGGATTTGTCAAGAAATACGTCGCTATATTTAAGAAATTATGTCTTAGAAGAAATAATCGCACATCTTCATATACGCTCTGCTTTGCGAATTGTTTGAGAATTTCCTTTATTAAGTTTTTTTGATTAACATTTCTCTGAAAACGAAAGCAATGACAAATATTGTAATTTTACATCTTATATCGTATTTATAATATACACATATATAAAACTAATTAAGTATACAGTCGTGAATAATTGTATCAGTAACAACATTAATGTAGTTTGCTATTGATAAAAAATTGTTCAGTTATCCAATTATAGATTGTACTTTCCCAATTCAAATTACTTAAAAAATAGAAAAAATATCAAAAGACCCAACATTATTATTATAAATCTTCTGAATATTTCTTATTTATATAAGGTATACACCGGGCACTAATTCTTTATAAATACGTGAAATGAAATGATTGCGCGTCCTCTCACTTCATATATGATAAGATTCATAAGATAAATGAATAATGAGAGAGCAACAGAGAGAGAATACTTTATATTCGGCTAATTCTCAACGCATAGAATCAAACCTCGCAAAACTGTACATATATATATTTTTTATATATTTTTAATATAAATTTAACAGTACTTAATTTATTATACATATTTGACTATTATATATTATAAATGTATATATATATATATATATATATATATATATTATTATATATTATTATTATATATATTATTTATTATTATATTTTATTATTATATATCATTATATATTATTATTCTATATTATAATATATTAAAAAGGTTAGAAATATTTTTCCACGAAATATTGCTGCTCCCTTTTGACGAGCGAAAAGCATAATAATAAAGAGTTTGTTAACGCAAAAAGTTACCTCAAGTGTGCCAAAAGTCAGATTTTTCAACTTGTTGATGTCACTCAACCATAATGTCCCTTTTATAGGAGATTCGCTAATAAATAGATTCTCATAATCTAACTCTTCCTCCTCAATGTCTGAAGAATTTGTTGAACTATAACTTTCGCTCGAATGTTCTATAATTATCCTATCCGCCATTGCAATGGATTTTTTCCCGGCAAAGATATTTTCTTGACAATCTTTCCTTTCAAAATCTAAACGAAGCGCGTAATTTTAGCGATTAAATCTGTAATATCTGACTGAATAATGAAGTCACAATGTGTGATTATATGATACTAATTACTATAAAGAATTTGATGTTACATTCCAACACAGTGTTGGGAAGACTAACTATTAGAACAATATTGTCCAATGGTATAATCTTAATACTTGTTTCTCCTTGAAATATGTTATTAAATATTAAAGTCAAAGAGATACATTTTAATTTGTGTGTTTATGTGTCTATGCCTCAAATTTAAATGCTACAACGCTTTTTCAAAAATCAAGGGACAACATTTTTCTTCCTAATATATAAATTTACCTAATATATAATCGAAAATGTATGTGCAAATATAATATTTGAAATAAAATAATGTAATAACGATAATAATAAAGATAAAATAATAACATAAGTCATACAGTGAACTTGCTTTATTCATATGAATTATGTAATAAGACATTGATATAAATTATATGATGAGCACATTTAATAAGCGCATTAAAAAAGGTTTCATCAAAATTTCATATTACATACATTATATAGATAAAACATTAATTAATTACTTAATTAGATAGAGCATTATATAGATAGAGCATTAATTAATTAATTAATTAATTAAAAATTTTCTTTAATACAATACTAGTTTGCACTAATTTTTTACACATCTCTAGTGTAATATAACAATTTGTACAAAATTTATTATATTCAATAGCCCAATAATTACATGTATTTCAGAAATAAAATTCATTGTTGATATTATATTTTTACAGCGCAATAAATTGTACACTTCATTGATAAACATTTTGTAAAATATGATATAATGCAATATTAATACTAAAAAATTAGTGATACTTGCTTAAAAAATATATACTATATAAATATATATTTATATTTTATGTATGTACATACCTTTTTATATGCACATACTGTAACTAATATATTTACTCTCCCATTTACTCATACAAATTGTTTAAAATGTCTTTTAAAAAAAAATTAAAACATAATCATGTTTTATGCCAAATTCAGAATAAAATGCAGAATAAAACAAAGCTAACGAAATTATCTCTCGATGCGCTCTTATGTGTCTTCTAGTTAAAGAAAGAGACAAAACTTGTCAAAGAAAAAATGTTTTAAATTGTCATTGTCATTATTTTTATATATAAAAAATAATTTTGCAATTAATAAATACAAAAAAGTATAAAATAAAAGATCTTTTTTTCTTTATTATTCGTTATTATATCATTTAATATTAAACCCTTCAATATAGTAGCAATATGTTTACAAGTATATTGTGTAAAAATACGGAACCAATATAGACTTAAGTACTGCTTTAGCTTTTGTAATAATAAATATGTTTTTTCTGATACTTGTAGTTCTTCTGCTATAATTAAAATACACAAAATACACATTATTAGACAACTATATACATAACTCCGCAATATGAGATATGTTACATGCATATATATACATATGCAATTTACATGTACCTTGTTGGAAAATGACTAATATCATTAACATGATACCATTTAAGTAATCCATAGTTCCTCCATATATTTTTGGAACGTACCACAAAAACTTTATTATCTTATTACTTTATTTTTAAAAAATTTGGAATTAACAGAAAATACAATTTGTTCGATGCAACCACGTTAAAACGATTATCAGTTATATAATTGTCAATTCCGACTTGCATTTGTCGCATAATTATATTTCGATAATAGAATATTGATACACACAATTTTTTTTTAAATTCTTATATAATAAATTAATAATCTTATATAATAAATAAAAAACGTATTTCAATATTTCTTTGACGGTTTTATTAATTTTTCCTTTTTACTTTTTTATTAAATCTTGAACTTACAATAATAAAATTTATATTACATTTGATGAATCGCCAATTTAGTAATAAGATGCCAATTTTTTTCTGTTAATATGACCTCTTATATAATAGATTAATATTTGCATTTGAAATAATAGTCAAAGTAACAGATTCGAGGATAATCATGTAAGCTTGTATTTTGAAATAAAAAAAATACAAGCTGTGTAAAAAAACGTATCTTAAAATTTTTCGTCGCAATATCGATGTTATAATTGAATTACACGGACTTCAATTATTATTAACACAAGGTTCGCTAGGTTATTCTATTTCTCCAATCATCGCAGTGCTTAATTAACGAGAGCAGAAAATATAATCATATTTTAATAATCATTAATCACAACTTCTCTTAACAGACGATTTATTATATAAAAATACAATATTGTCAATGAATACATCAATCAAGTCTTGTCATACATATACAATTGCGAACCCTTCTACAATTAAAATAACAAACATAACTTTATTTTTATTGTGAATATATTGTATGTGTTTTATACTATATTATATTATATATGTCGTGTATTATATTTGATATATATATTATATATATACATTATAATTATAATATATATATTAAATATTGTATATAAATATATACATACAACATACATATAATATAATATTATATTTATATACATATATAATATCAATATAAAAAGTTATGCACATTATTTATAAATATGTGTATATATAACATTTATAAATACTATTAAAAAATTTCCTTCTCATTTCGCTATTAACATCAATTGAGTATTGCTAGTAAAATTTGAAAAAAATTAGAACACACGGTCATGTTTTATGCAAAGTACAAAGCGAAGCTACCGCATATCCGCATGGTTACGAATATTTTATATTATTTTATTCCAATAATTGATCGAATTCTTAATAAATTTAATCAATAACTTCACATATCATATAACGAAAAACTGTCTCTATATATGCTTCTACATATACTCTAGTTAAATATGAGATAAAGCACGACAGAATAAATTAAACTGTCACTGTCACCATGCCAATAAAAAAATACTTGTGCAACTATAATAATATACATACAAAATAAACAAAGAAAAAACCTTCTTTATATTTTTGTATTACATGGGTAAAGCACTAATTAATTATGAATTTCACGACATGCAATTAGAACATTTCGCATTTTTTCACGCAACTCAGGTATCATATTGCAATCTAATTTTACCCAATTAACCAAATATTCAAAAAACACGTTCTCTGCCATTATATCATTTGGTATTAAACTCTTGAATATAGTAGCGATATGTTTACGAGTACATTGTGTAAAAATACGGAACCAATATAGACGTAAGTGCTTCTTTAGCGTTTGTATTAATAAATATGTTCTTCTTGATAATTGTAGTTTTCTTGCTATAATTAGAATACACAAAATACATATTATTAGACAATATGCAGGAATTCCACCATGTGAGATACATTACACGTACACATATACATATTTCAACGTACATCGCTCTAAAATGACTAAAATCATTAACAGGATACCATTTAAGTAATCCGTAGTTCCTCCATATATTTTTGGGATATATGGAAAACTTAGTAACAATTTCACAATATGGTATAATACTGCAATACATTCATCAATGTTTGTTAAAGGCAAGGTATAATAATATAAAGGTAATTTCTTATCCCCAACGTCCCATGTAATCTCGTTAAAACGATCAGTTATACATTTGTCAGTTCCGACTTCGACTTGTCGCACGATTAGAAAGTGTAAAAAAGTTTCGATAAAATTTACGTCTTCTGAAAACCTTATCTCCTTGATGGTGTGTGCGTAATAAAATTGCATAGCAGGAATCAAAGTATCAATATTAAATAGCTGTTCCAAGAAATGGACTTGGTCTGGCAAATTGATTTCAGATATATATTTAATTAATTTCACAATTTCCCAACCTACAAAGAAATTTTCAAAAATTAAATTAGATAGAATCAACTGTCCTACAATATATTATAGTATATTACATCATAAGATATATTTCGGTAATATTAAAGATTTTGTATAAAAATAAGCATACGATTTTTCCTAAAAAAATTGTTATTATATTTGTATCATTTATATTAATGTACCAAGATCACATTGTGAAGATTTTAGTAGGAAGATTATTCTCCTTCCGAAAAATTTACATTCCTTAAAACGTACTATCCATTCTGACTCAGAATTTATCTGAATTTCACATGTCGCTAATTGTAACAATTTTATAATTTTTATCAGTATTTTTTCATTTTCCCAATTTTGCAAATGGAGTAGAATTGATCTAACAATACTTTTGAATTTGCCTATGTCATCTATCGCTTCGTTAATATAGCATAAATTAATAGTAATACATAAAACAGGATACTGAAAATATATTATTAATCGTTAAAATAATTGCTATAGAAAGGTAGAATATTTTATAAGATAAACATATCATACAATTGTCGCAAAACGTGGTTGATTTGCCAATAAATACTTTGCTATGTGGAAGAAATTATGTTCTATAAGAAACCATTTCACATCTTCAAATACGCTCTGCTTTGATAAAAAATTCAGAATATATTTCATGTGATACATATCGCCTCCCTGAAAACGAAGACAACGGCAAATATTGTAATTTAAGTCTTATAGTATTACACTGATTGTATACAGCCGTGAATATGTGTGACTGTAACAGCATTAATGTAGTTTGCTATATTAATAAAAACCTTTTCAATGATATTTTTGCAATTACAGATTGCACTTTTCGAATTCAGTTTTTATCTAAATAATATGTATCTAAACTAATCATTTTTATCTAAACAATCAATTATATATCTTAAAAAAGTTATCGAGGGATCAAACAATATTATATCAAACTTATCAATATTTCTCATTCGTATACAGCACACATTATAAGTTCTAATGATAAATACTATAACTATATGATAAATTCGTGAAATAAAATGATTACACGTTTCACTCACTCGTATATGCTTATAAGATAAATGAATTGTGAGAGAGCATAAGAGAAAGATATTATTTTATGTTCGGCTGATTTTCAAAGCATAGAATAGAGTCTCGCAATACTATTGTATATGTATATTTAGATATTTTTATTATTATAGCATTAGAAATACCAGATGTATCACACATTTGACTATTATTAAAAATGTTAGAAAGATTTTTTCACAAAATATTGTGTTTTTTTTTTTTACGAAAACATAGTAATAAAGAGTTTGTTAATAGAAAAAAATTACCTCGTTTACTAGGTCTAGGTCAAAAACCATGTATTTCAATAAATCGATTGTAATTGTATTTTCCCAAGGAAATTTGTAGTTACATTTTGCTTTAAAATTTTCTTCACGTAATGAAGAAAATCTTTCCTCTTCCTGAAATAATCTTTCTGCTTCTTCTTGAAGGTCTGCCTTCAAGATTATAAAACCGTCAAACGAATTATCAGTTTCGTCCAAAATTTCTATCATCATCTCATCCGCCATTGCAATTAATTTTTTTGTGATATCTGCTCGACCGTCTTTCCTTCAAAATCTATACGTAGCGCGTAATTTTAGTAATTAAATCTGTAACATCTGACTAATCACTTATATCACAATGATTATATTATACTAATTACTAAAAAAAAATTGATATGACATTTTTCCAACAAAGTGTTAAGAAGACTAACGGTTATAGGATATTATTCAAGTATGTGATCTCAATTCTTGTCTCTCCTTGAAACATGTTATTAAATGTTAAAGTAAAAAAATATGTATTTTTATTTGTGTATTTATATTTTTATATGCCTAATCTCAAGTTTAAGTGTTGTATACATGAACTCCGCAATATGAGATATATGTTACATGTACACATATACATATGCATATTTATATAAACGTACCTTGTTCTAAAATACTTAACATCATTAATATCATTAATTAACATGATACCTACTATTTAAGTAATTTCGAGTGCCTCCATATATTTTTAGAACATACCACAAAATCTCAATAAGTTTTCACAATACGGCATAATGTTTCAATATCTTTATTACCTTATTACTTTATTTTAAATAAAATTTGGAATTAACAGAAAATACCAATTTATTCGATGCAACCACGTTAAAACGATTATCAGTTATATAATTGTCAATTCCGACTTGCATTTATCGCATAATTATATTTCGATAATAGAATATTACTAAACACGATTCTTTTTAAAAATTCTTATATAATAAATTAATAAACTTATAGAATAAATAAAGAACGTATTTCAATATTTCTTTGACGGTGTTATTAATTTTTTCCTTTTTACTTTTTTATTAAATCTTGAACTTACAATAATAAAATTTATATTACATTTGATGAATTACCAATTTATTAATAAGATGCCAATTTTTTCCTGTTAATATGACCTTATATAATAGATTAATATTTGCATTTGGAATAACAGTCAAAGTAACAGATTCGAGGATAATCATGTGAGCTTGTATTTTGAAATAAAAAAAAACACAAGCTGTGTAAAAAAACGTATCTTAAAATTTTTCGTCGCAATATCGATGTTATTATTGAATTACACGGACTTCAATTATTATTAACACGTGGTTCGCTAAGTTATTCTCTTTCTTCAATCATCGCAGTGCTTAATTAACGAGTGCAGAAAATAATCACATTTTAATAATCAATAATCACAACTTCTCTTAACAGACGATTTATTAAATAAAAATACAATATTGTCAATGAATACGTCAATCAATTCTTGTCATACATATACAATCGCAAACGCTCTACAATTAAAATAACGAACATAACTTTATTTTTATTGTGAATATATTGTATGCGCTTTATACTATATATATTATATTATATATGTCGTGTATTATATTAGATATATATATTATATATATACATTATAATTATAATATACATATCAAATATTGTATATAAATATATACATATAACATACGAATTATATTATATTATATTTATATACATATGTAATATAAATACAAAAAGTTATGCACATTATTTATAAATATGTGTATATATAACATTTATATATACTATTCAAAAAATTTCCTTTCCATTTCGCTATTCACATCGATTGAGTATTGATAGTGAAATTTTAAAGAAATTAGAACACACGGTCATGTTTTATGCAAAGTACAAAGCGAAGCTACCGCGAATCCGCATAGTTACGAATATTTTATATTATTTTATTACAATAATTGATCGAACTCTTAATAAATTTAATCAGTAGCTTCACATATCATATAACGAAAAACTGTCTCTATATATGCTTTCACATATTCTCTAGTTAAATATGAGATAAAACACGACAAAATAAATTAAACTGTCACTGTCACCTTGCCAATAAAAAAAAATACTTTTACAAGTAATATACATACAAAATAAACAAAGAAAAGACCTTTTTTATATGTTTGTATTACATGGGTAAAGCACTAATTAATTATGAATTTCATGACATGCGATTAGAACATTTTTCATTTTTTCACACAACTCAGGTATCATATCGAAATCTCGTTTTATACAATCAGCTAAGTATTCAAAAATTTCGTCCTTTTTCATTAAATTCATCAATATATATCCAATCTGTTTACAAGTATATTGTCTAAAAATATGCAACCGATATATATTCAAATGCTCCTTTAACTTTTGCATTAATAAATATTGTCTTCCTGATAACTGTAGTTCTTTCGCTATAATTAGAAAGATACAAAATACACATTATTAGACAACTATATACAGAAATTCCGCAATGTGAGATACATTACACGTACACATATACATATTTCAATGTACCTCGCTCTAAAATGACTAAAATCATTAACAGAAGACCATTTAAGTAATTTGTAGTTCCTCCATATATTTTTGGGAAATACAGACGTCTCAGTAACATTTCCACAATTTGGTATAATACTCTAATACATTTATCAATGTTTACTAAATAAATGTCATTAACAAGTTTTTGATGTAATTTCTCATTCCCAAAGTTCGATGTAACCAAGTTAAAACGATCAGTTAAATATTTGTCAGTTCCGACTTCCATTCGTCGTATGATTAGAAACCGTAAAAAAGTTTCGATAAAATATTCGTCTTTTGAAAACCTTAACTCATTGCAGTCCAGTATGACGTGTGTGAAAAATAATTGCTTAGCAGGAATCAATGAATCAATATCAAATAGCTGTTCAACGAAATTGATTTGATCTGGCAAATTTATTTCTTGTATACATTCAATCAAATGTACTATTTCCATACCTACAAAGAAATTTTCAAAAATTGAATTGGATAGAATCAACTGTCCTACAATATATTATAGTATATTACATAATAAGATATATTTCGGTAATATTAAAGATTGTATATAAAAATAAGCATACAATTTTTCGTAAAAAAATTGTTATTATATTTGTATTATTTATATTAATGTACCAAGCCGAAATTGTGAAGATTTTAGTAGGAAGATTATTCTCCCTCCGAAAAATTTACATTCGTTGAAACGAACTATCCATTCTGACTCAGGATTTATCTGAATTTCACATGCCGCTAATTGTAACAATATTATAATGTTTGTTAATACTTCCTGATCCCCTTCGCTCTTTTGCAGATAAGATAAGATTATTCTAATAAATTCTCTGCTTGTGGCTATTTCATCTATCACTTCGTTAATATAGCATAAATTGATAGTAATACGTAAAACAAACTTCTGAAAATATATTATTAATCGTTAAAATGATTGCTATAGAAAGGTAGAATATTTATAAGATAAACTTATCATACAATTGTCGCAAAATATGGATCATTTTTCAATAAATACTTTGCCATGCAAAAGAAATTATGTTCTATAAGAAACAATTTCACATCTTCAAATACGCTCTGCTTTGATAAGAAACACAGAAAAGAATTCGTGTTATTAAGATCGAGTTTCTGAAAACAAAGACAACGGTAAATATTGTAATTTAAGTCTTATAGTATTACACTAATTGTCTACAGCCGTGAATATGTGTGACTGTAACAGCATTAATGTAGTTTGCTATATTAATAAAAAATTTTTAATAATATTTTTACAATTACAAATTGCACTTTCCGAATTCAGTTTTCTAAACAATCGAATATATATCGAAAAAAAGTTATCGAGGAATCAAACAATATTATATCAAACTTATGAATATTTTTCATTCATATACAGCACGCATTGCATTAATAATAAATTCGTGAAATAAAATGATAAGATAAATAAGAAAGTAACAGAGAAAGAGAATATTTTATGTTCGACTGATTCTCACAGCAGAGAATAGAATCTCGTAATACTATATATGTACATTTAGATATTTTTATTATAGCATTAAAAGTACCAAATCTATTATATATTTGATTGTTATTAAAAATCTTAGAAAGATTTTTTCACGAAATATTGCAGTTTTTTTTTACGAGCGTAAAACATAATAATAGAGTTTGTTAATAGAAAAAATTACCCCGTCTTCTGGGTAAAAAATCCAATCTTTCAATTTATTGATTATATATATCCCTATCCAAGGAGGTTCGCCAATATATTGTACTTCCTCATATATTTCCTGATGTGATACTTCGAGTACTTCCTCACATAATTGATCTAACTCTTCCTCCTCACTGTCTGCAGCATTTCTTGAACTGTCAGTTTCGTCCGAATTTTCTATTATTATCTCATCCGCCATTACAATTAATTTTATTTTATATCTTTTCGACCGTCTTTCTTTTAAAATCTAAACGTAGCGCGTAATTTTACATCTAACTGGTCACTAAAATCGCAATGATTATATTATACTAATTACTAGAAAAAATTTGATATGACATTATTCTAACAAAGTGTTAGAAAGACTAATTGTAAAAGAATATTATCCAAGTGATCTCAATCCATGTTTATCCTTGAAACATGTTATTAAATGTTAAAGTAAAAAAAATATGTATTTTTATTTGTGTATTTATATTTTTATATGCCTAATCTCAAGTTTAAGTGTTGTAATCCTTTTGAAAAAATCAATAGACTACGTTTTATCTTCCAAATATATTAATCAACCATAATAAATATAACTAAAAATACTAATTAAACGGTATTTCATATTAGGTAGTATCCAATTTTATTACATAATTTTTCAATATAAAGAACGAATATCTTTAAATTTGGTTTACATGTCTCACGAATAAAGATATGATAAAATGCTGAAACAAAATACTTATCGTTTAAGAAATGTCATTATCATCATTTTTGAAAGATTTTTTTTATTTCTGCTACAAGATTGTACCAAGTTTTATAGCTGATTTTAACAACATTTGATATGACACATATTACATATATGAGAAATATGAGCATATTGGTGAAATAATCGAAAATATATGTGATATGTCACAAAATATAATATGTGAAATAAGAACATTAACCGAATTATATAATAAAACTACTTTATTGATATAAATTATGTAATAAGACTAGATATGAATGATAATATACAATATTCACATTGAATAAGTACTTTAAAAATTGTGTCATCAAAATTTCGTGTTACATAGATTCAGCATTAATTAATTACGGATTTGCTTTAATGCAATAAATGGCTTCCACTAATTTTTTTCATGTATCTAGTGTCATATTACAATCTGTAGATTTATTATATTCAATAGTCTAGTCATTTTCTAATATTAATTGATATTAAACTCGTCAATATATAAGGAAAAATACTATACAAAACAAAAATATTTTATTTTAGAAATACATGCAAACTATGGTAATTTTTGCAATGTGGTCAGTGTATCTTTATTATTTTAACGATGTCCACTTTTGCCCACGTACGTTGCAAAATGTCAAGTGTTACGTGGCGAAAAGCTATATTAATGCGTTCTTTGAGTTCAAATGGTGAACGTCTCGAGGTTATTTAGACATTTTCCGAAACATTGGATTGGACACGATAGTCCTCTCCGGATATTATCCTGTGTGATTTCTATTTTCATCAAGAGCATTGTCTAAAAAAAGTAAATGTGTCTCCTTCATTGAAATCAAAGCATTAATACATATTCCATCCGATTATCAGCGTACGTGGATGCATCATTTGTCTAGACATCCTTCAAATAACTAATGAACGTACGTTGAGATACACTGATCATGTTGTGAACAATTTCTTTAGTTCACAATACTTCAGAAATCAAATTTCATTGTTTGATATTATACTTTTCCTTTTACAGCGCAATAAAATTGCACAATTTATTTACGAATATTTTGTATAATATAAAATACAATATATAGTAATTTAATAAAAAAATGATCATGTGCTTAAAAAAAGACATATTATAGGTATTTACTTTGTTTACATTTATTCTCCCATTTACTCATACAAAATGTTAAAACTATGTCAGATTTTAAGAAATTAAAATACATGATCATGTTTTATGTCAACTTCAAGTGCAAAAAAAAAAATGCAAAGCTAAAGTATACGCAAATCGCCTAGTTATGAATTGAGATTATTTATTTCAGTAATTCACAGAGGTTTTGATAAATCAAAATCGATAGTTTCAGATATTATTACAGAAACTCTCTCCTCTCTCTCTCTCTCTCTCTCTCTCTCTTGCGCTCTCTCTCTATCTCTCTCGATGTACCTTTGTGTAAGTCTTTCTAGTTAAAAAGAAAAAATTTGTTAAATTGTCATTGTCTCATTTTTATGTATGAAGAATATTATGTAATTAATAAATACAAAAAAATATTAGATAAAAAAGATCTTTTTTCATATTCTCTGATTTCTGATAAAAGATTGCATTACTATTAGTATAATATTTTACGATGAGAGATGCGAAAACATGTATCTAAAAAATTTGTAAAATAATCGAGATTATGTACAAATTGTTACAAAGTATAATACGTATTGAAATTAGAATTATATTTCGAACTCTGTAATTACTTGATATATTAATACAAAAGTAATTCATTAGTATATTATAAATAGCGACTATATAATTTAATAATGCTAGCTATGACAAGTAAAATTACAAGATATATATATTTGTAAAATAATCAAGATAAACAAGTTATGAAACAATAAGAAGAATAAATTAGAATTATATTTCGAATCTCTGTAGTGAACTTGGTATGTTTAATACAAATCGATCGATAAGAATATTATATACTAATTAATACCATAAACAATACAGAAAAGGATCTTTTTCGCAATTTTGTATTATATTAATTAAACATTAATTATTATTTCATTACATGCAATTATAACATTTTTTATTTTTTCATACAACTCAGGTATCATACTGCTCTTTTACGAGAAATCGTGGTCGGATCGACGTGAAAACGATGTCGATTCAACTTTTATTTTTCGCAGAGTATCTAATATTATATGATTAAATAAACATTCAAAAACCACATTCTCTGTTATTATATCATTTAGTATTAAACCCTTCAATATAATAGCAATATGTTTACAATTATATTGTTTAAAAATTTCGAACCAATATAAACTTAAGAGCTGCTTTGCTTTCGCAATAATAAAGATGTTCTCTTGGTAACTGTAGTTTTTTTGCTATAATTGGAATACACAAAATACACATCATTAGACAACTATATACAGAACTCCGCAATATGAGATATATTACATGCATACATATCATATGCATATTTACACGTACCTCGCATTAAATGACTAATATTAAACATGATACCATTTAAGTAATCCAGGTTTCCTCCATATATTTTTGGAACATACCGAAATCTCAATAACATTTCCACAATACGGTGTAATGTTATAATATTTATCTTTTTTAATTCTTAAAACTGGAAATTAATAGGAAATACAATAATTTGTTTGATTCAACCACGTTCAACGATTATCAGTTACAGATGTATCAATTCTGTTTTGTATTTGTGGGACAGTTAGTAACCGAAATATTCTTTCGATCAAAGTTACGTCTTTCATAATAGTGGCGGATAACTGCTAGTGAACTTCGGTATACTGCACGTGTAAGATTGCAGAGCAGGAATCAACTTATGAACATCAAATAGTTTGTTCTAAAAAGCTGATTTGTTCTCGCAATTTATTTCAGATATAGATTTCACCAGTTGTATTAATTTTATACCTATAAAGAAGTTTTCAAAAGTTGAACAGAATCAATTCTCTTATATTATAATGTATTATATTTTAATAATATAATATTGATAATTACGTGTAAACACAATATTTTTTAAAAAATT